CAGGTTTTCTTTGACAAAGGCGAAATTGCAAGCCAAGCGGCTAAATATGTGAATGGTGTTTATAATTCCGATACTGCAAAAGCCAATTATGTACAATTTTGGTTTCGAAGGTTTCGTTCAGGAATTTTTTTAAGGTCCATAATATTTTTTTAGGTTTATCGGAGAATATATAAAGTAAGTGAAGACCAGGATATCTTCACAAACCAGCAGATGGCCGGGATATATTTAAGACGAGTCGAAAAAAGGAATCGTTAAAAAGAATCTAAAGAGCAAGGTATCTTTATAGAGCATCTAAAAGACAGGAAGTTTCTAAAAACGGGTTGAAGATCTGGGAGTATTTATAAATAAGAAGCCGAAGCAGTGTGTTTTTTATTGAGGGTCTTAAGTAAAGAGGATCTTTATAGAGAGTCTGAAAGGCAGGGAATCTTTATAGAGGGTCTGAAGGACAGAGAATCTTTATTGACGAACTGAAGAAAGTCTTTTTAGGCGAGCTGAAAGACGAGTCTTTGTAGAGTAAGCTGAAGGGTGTCTTTAAAGACAAGCTAAAGGAAGTCTTTATAGATGAGCTGAAGGTCCGGAATAATTTACAGGCGTGTTGAAGGTAAAGGGAGATTTTATAGACGAGCTAAAGGGAGACCTTGTTAACCAACTCAGTGATGCATATTTTTTAAAAACGCACTGAACACCAGGGGGTCTTTATAGACAAGCTGAAAATCAGAGAGTTTTTATAGACGAGCTAAAGGTCGGAGTGTCTTCATAGGCGAGCTGATGGCCATGGAGTCTTTGTAGACAAGCTGAAGACAAGGGTGTTTTTAAAGATTAGCTGAATGTTCGGTGATAAACGAGGGATCGATTTCTTATGTTTCAGACGGATATTCTCCGTATCAAGGGCAAAATGCAAAGAACCGGAAAAGTAAAAAAAATATAAGTCCACATGGTGTAATCTCGCCTTTATTCTTCAACTTTTACATTTCCTAATTCGCTGTATCTAACTTTTGATGATCTTCTCTAAGCATGTCGAAGTCATGAAGCCAAACGTTCCGAAGCACAATTAAGTGCTTCTTACACTACAACAGTAAGTAAAATTCCCTTAAATAAGTTCCAAATACAGTATTTTTCGGTTAATTGACCCTACGGTTAATTGGTTTCCACGCTTAATTGAACCACATGATGGGGCAAAAAAATTTTCATAGGAAAATACATGTAAATTTTCTCGGATAATTAAATCCTCTTAATTGATTTCCCCGCTTAATTGGTTCAAAATTCATTTCATCAAAAATAAATTTCCTTTTACTTTTCAACGGTTAATTGCACAATAATAATTGAAAAATAATCTGCCATTTTTTTACATACATATTTGACATAATTTGTGAAAAAGACTAGGTGGCATCTCTACTAATTCAAAACATATGTTTATTGCTAAGTCTTGATTTAGATTAGGCGAGTTTACTTGCGGCAAGTCTTTGTTTGTAGGAGAGAGGGGCAAGGGGTATAGAAATGAAAAAAAATTGCTCGTACCGACAATTTTCTGGCAATTCGTTTTGTGTATTTCGTATTTGTTAACATTTTATATAGATTTAAATGTGAAAAAAAACAACAAATAGAAAAATATTTTGGAAACCGAATTGCCTTGTATAAACGCATGAAGCAAGTTCAAAAGAGAACGACAAGAATTACCGCAAGTAAACTCGTCTAATCTAAATCAAGACTAAGGAAAAACTTCGATAAAGCGAAATTGTATTCGACATTGGATTTTTTTAAATCATTAGTATTTCCAATTATACGTGATTACTGTAATTGAACAAACTGTTCAATTAAGCCGGTTCGGATAATTGGTTCCTCGGTTAACTGAACGAAAATTTGTGCAAATTTTGATGTGCAATTAACCGAAAAATACTGTAGCATAAAGTAAAATCCTTTCACCACACCCGAATGTAGGCAAATGAGATGTGTGGATCATCTTCATTAGGTATCCTTATCAATGCAGCAACATAAAGTGTTGCTCATTCGACACTTCATTCTGGCATGACCTCCATACGACCTCCATACGACCTCCATTATTGTGGTTCAGAATCCGGAAGGACATCAAGTTATCTTTCACTGAGCTTGTACATTTTCAGGAAGTCCGCCACTGAAGTGCACATAAAAACAAGATCCATGCTAGCGCAAATTTTATTAGATTTTGTATTTACCCAGAACCACAAAAAATTAATAAATAAATTGCAAACACAACAAACACCAAGCTGAGAACGATACCATATCAAAACGCAGCCGAGGATTGAAAGGTGGTTGTGATTTTTTTCTTAGGAGGAATACATTCGTTTTTGCCAAAAGAGAGATGGAGAGCAGAAAATATACATAATTCTATGTATTGGATTGACTTGCAGGACACAGGAATTCGACCAGAGGCTGTTCGAACCGTTATAAAAAGGAATCCCAGGCCTTGGTTCTGTATTGGTTGTGATCAAACTGTATTGTGTATTATTAACCTAACGAAAGCCGTTAACTTTGTCAAGCTGTTCGATGATATAGAGACGACCAACCTACTGGATAGTTTGAAACTTTGAATTTTCAGAAATAAAAATTCGACAGATCGTAGAATAAAAGAGGGAATTCCAAGGTGGATTGATGTTTCGAGAACTGTTCAACCGCTATTTATACCCTTCACCACACTGTGGTACAGGGTATTATGTCTTTGTGCATATGTTTGTAACAGGCAAAAATAATCGAGATAGACCCATGGTTCCTTTTGAGAATATGCATAGAATCACTTTCTAAGTCGATTTATGCATGTCCGTCCGTCCGTCTGTCCATGTTAAATTGTAAACAAAGTACAGGTAGCATTTATGATCCGAATTGGATGAAATTTGACATAGGTCACTTATACGGCCCAAGGACGAACCCAATTGGAATTGGGAAAAATCGGTTCAGATTTAGATATAGCTCCCATATATATATTTAACCGATTTAATGTAAATAGGGACCCTTTATCTATATCTTTCGATTTTGACGAAATTTGGTACAGCCTAATCACTTCGGTCTAGAATGATTTCTGCCAAGTTTCGTGAAAATCGGTCCAGATTTAGATATAGCTCCCATATATAGTTTCGTCCGATTTCATGTAAATGGTGCCCCAAAGTCCCTATATATCTTTTGATTTGTACAATTAAGCCTATATATCTTTTGATTTGTACAAAATTTGGCATAACGTACTGAATTAAGCCTAGAGTGATGTCTGCCAAGTTTCGAGAAAATCGGTCCAAAATTAGATATAGTTCCCATATATAGTTTCGTCCGATTTCATGTAAATGGTGCACCAAAGTCCCTATATATTATTCGATTTGCACGAAATTTGGCATAACGTACTGAATTGAGCCTAGAATGATGTCTGCCAAGTTTCGAGAAAATCTGTCCAGATTTTAATATAGCTCCCACATATAGTTTCGTCCGATTTCATGTAAATGGTGCACCAAAGTCGCTATATATCTTTCGATTTGCACGAAATTTGGCATAACGTACTGAATTGATCCTAGAGTGATGTCTGCCTTGTTTGTGAAATCGATCCAGATTTAGATATAGCTCCCTTTTATTATAGATTGATTTTAAGTAATTGACGCACCAAGGGACCAATAGGAACAAAACGTTCTGAAATTAGTATAACATAACCTGTGACAAGTTTGTTTGAAATCGCTTAATATTTGGATAGAGCTTCCATATATATTTTCGCCCGATTTCAAGTAAATTGGGCATCAAACTCCTCATGTTAGTCAGATTGACATCAAATTTTGCACAACGTACAAAATTGAACATAGAAGTACGTAGTTGCGTTTTCTAGAAGTACAGACATAGCCCAACGGATGACCTATTTATATTTGTTTGAAGTCGATTTACATACTTTATGGAAGATCTAGGTAGATTCACATTTAGATAAATATCACATATTTTATTTCATCCAATTTCATGTTAATAGTCCTGTATAACATACCCATAGTGGTGAAGGGTATCATATAGTCGGCCCGGCCGACTTTACTACTTTCCTTACTGGTTATTATATTCCAAATTGTACGATCATGACCTTGGATTGGTTAAGATCATACCCGTCCATCGGCACAGTCAAATTTTGTCATTGCAGTACTTGTTTGGTTGTTATTATACATTCGCCCGGAACATGTTAATACAGTTCCACAGTTTGATAAAACTTCTTATTCACACCACGTGTCTGAAAGTCCATTTCCGAATAAAAAAAAACACAAATTAATTTTCTTCTTAACATTACGGATATTTATTAAGTTTTTGTTCTTGTTGTTGTTATTGTAAAAATAATACATTGTACATTTATTATGAATAAATACTTTGCGATATTGTATTGCAATGCAAAACAAAATATAGAAATAATTTAAACTTAAAAACTATAAAATAATTAATAATAATAATTGTAGAAATATATTTGTATAGATAATATGAGATTGCCATAAAAAATACAAATTGGTAATATTCAATGCAAGTGTACCCTTAAGCCCACAAAGGGGATTGTTTTGAATAAAATATAAGAATTTTAAATAGAAATTTATTAAATTTAAAAAATAAAAAAAATCACAGAAATAAAATTTAAACGAAACATAAAATTAACAATTAAAACAATTATGGCAAGCAAAAGAAGGACCCAAAGAGTACACTCACAATTATTATTTTTTAAAATAATTTTCAAATCGTTAAAATAAAAATGCATTTTTGTTTTTACTTTTTTATCAATTAAAGCAATTAAACCGAAATTTTTAAAAAATAAATCCTTAGAAAAACTAAAAAAGTAGTTTTTTTATATTTTTTTTTTTTCTATGTATACGGGGGATTAAATCCCAACTTAAGAAAGAAAAATTAAAAACAAAAAATTTAACAGAGCAATTTTCTCAATTTTAGCACAGTGGAAAAATCCACACCACAAGAAATTCAAACGAACACCATCTGTAGTTGTTGTTCTCTCTAAGTTGGCCTTCTAATAACTACCACATGGAGGATGTCTGTTGGAGAAAAAGAGAATAAAAAAATAAAAATATTAAAATTTATTAAATGTGTTAACAATTAATGTCACATAATAATGATCATAGCACACATTCGACAATTTCAAGTGAATTAATTTCATTGAACTTACCACAATTATTGCATACGCAGTGCCAATCAATGCCCCGGCCAATACGTCTGTCCAATGGTGTTTGTAATCGGAAACACGTGTCAGCGATGTATACCAGGCGAACATTAAAAATATAAATTGCAATAAATGTTTAAACATTTTACTGCGCGAACACGTCAAGCGTTTGTGTAAATAGATCTGCAGAAAAAGAAAAACACATATAAGTAATAAAGAAAATAATTAAAAAATATTTCAAAAGCGTAATTTTTATAAATAGATTAAAAAAATATTTGTAAAAGAATATTTTTTCAAGGACTATCACGACTTAGGCGTTTATTTTTAAAGAATATTTTTTATGGACTATCACCGCTTTACGTGCGAAGTTTTCACAGAATATCTTTCAATACCTATCACATTTTTTAAAGAATATTTTTTCAAGGACTAAAACACGCCTAGATTTTTTTTCAAGAATATTTGTTTAGGGACTAGACAAACGTGGATTTTTTAAAGAATATTTTGGCAAGGACTCGAATAATGATTCCAATATCCTTGGCATATTTAAAGAATATTTTTTTCAAGGATTGAAAAAATCATAGATTTTTAAAAAATATTTTTTTAAAGACTAGACCAAGCATGGATTTTTAAAAGAATATTTTTTTCGAAGATTGGAACATGCGTGGATTTTTAAAGAACATTTTTCAAGGACTATCCGAACTATATCCCTGGATTTTTAAAGAATATTTATTCAAGGACTATCCGAACTATAGACGTTGGCAGCATTCCTCGATATCGAGGGAGCTTTCAACAATGTGAAGCTAGAGGCCATCCATTCTGCTCTCGTAAGCATAGGCATCCCCTCACTCCTTACGGAATGGATTGATAGAATGCTGGAAAGCAGAATTATCAACTCATCCTTGTGGCTTCTGGTGATAAACACCACAGGGAGGAGATACTTATGAAATTCAATCATCTCAGGATAAAGGTTGTAGCCTATGTCGATGATGTAGTCCTGCTGGTTGGGGGTAAGTTTGTAACGGCAATTTCAGACATTCTGGATGGTGCCCTTTCAACCCTGTCTAATTGGGCTTGCACCAAAGGACTTGGTGTAAACCCTACTAAAACCGAATTGGTGCTCTTCACTAGGAAACGCAAAATTCCTAGTTTCCGTCTGCCAACACTTGGAGGAGTGACTTTAACCCTTTCTGATGAAGCTAAATATCTTGGCATCATCCTAGACCGCAAACTACTGTAGAATAGGAATGTTGAGGAATGCTCTCAAAAGAGATTGCTGGCACTCAATTCATGCAAGAACTCCATAGGTAAGAGTTGGGGATGTGACCCGGAATTATACACTGGCTGTATACGACGATCATCTTACCCATACTTACTTATGGTTGCCTCGTTTGGTGGCAGGGGGTGAACAAAAAGATGCTGCTGACAAAACTGAGCTTAGTACAGCGATCGGCTTCAATCCTGATCACCGGAGCATTAAGAAGTACACCACAGGCAGCCTTGAACGCAATCTTGAATCTCCAACCATTGGATATTCTGATTAAATTTCAGGCGGCCAGGTGTGCCCTGAGACTACGTGAAACAGATACCTTGAAATCGCTGAACTATGGTCATGCCAGCATCCTAAACATAACGCCAGGTCATAATCTCTTTAGGAGGGATAGTCATATCAGTGACTATATTCCCCCTCATAGGGACTTAAATGACATCAAAGTTGAATTTCCTAGTAGGGAATCCTGGACTAGTGGCTCCCTACCTCTGCCAGGTCTGTCAATCTTCTCAGACGGGTCTAAGATGGAGGAAGGCACTGACGCAGGCGTTTACTGTAGGGAATTCCTAATTCCCTACAGTAAACGCCTCATACAACTCATATAAACTCAACAATAACTGTAGCGTTTTTCAACCAGAGATTCTCGCAATCGCGAAAGCGGTCGTGATAGTAAAAGCACTTAATGCCGACATCAAGGGACCGGTGACTATATAATTCGATAGTCAGGCGGCCCTGAAAGTGGTGAAGTCGCATACTATAAACTCGAAAGCAGTTCATGATTGTAAGACCGCTCTGAATGATATACGACAGATAGTTGGGTTATGCTGGGTTCCAGGACATAATGACATTGAAGGGAATGAGATAGCCGACGTGCTTGCTCGAGGGGGCTCACAGTCATCCAATCTTCTGATTGAGAGATCTGTGAAACCCCCCATCAGCTATTTCATTGGCAGAATCCGTGCGTTCCATTACGTGGCAGTCGGTAACAGATGGCTAAGGGAACCTGCTTGCAGAATCTCTAAATCTATCTGGCCTGAATTCTTTCGTAAAAGAACGTCTTCGCTGCTGGAACACAGTAAGAGGGAGATCAAAATCGTTGTGGGGATTATAACTGGTCACTGCAAAATTAGATCTCTCACTTCTAAGTGGGACTCCAGTGGAGAGGATTACTGTCGTCTATGTGAGGACGAAGAAGAACTGGAAACAATTGAGCACATCCTCTGCAAATGTCCAACGCTGATCAGCAGAAGACATAAACAGTTTGGAAGTTATCTAATCTTCTTCTCCAAAATAGACCCTAACCAAATTCTAGGCTTTGTCAAAAATTTGACTTGGGTAAAATAATCTCTCTTCCGCCCCCGTTTTTTCTCACTATCTTTTCTCCCTACTCTTCCACTATCTCTTTTATTTTCTTTACAGGTACATATACATAAAGGATGATCACAATGGACATAGTCTCCGAGTGGACGGTTGTCACAACAACCGTACATCCCTAACCTATAGGCGTGGATTTTTAAAGAATATTTTTTCAAGGACTATCAGCACCCTTGGCGTGTTTTTAAAAAAAAAAATATTTTTCAAGGACTATCAGCAACATAGGCGTGTTTTTTTAAATATTTTTTTAAGGTCTATCACGAGTAAAAACTTGTGTTTTTAAAGGAATATCACCATTTTTTTCAAGGGTTTTCACCACTTTAAGCTTGGATTTTTAAAGAATATTTTTTCTAGGACTATCAGCACTCTTGGTGTGTTTTTTAAAGAGTATTTTTTTCAAGGACTATCAACACATTAGTCGTAGATTTTTAAAAAATCTATTTTTCCAAAGACTATCATAAAAGTGGATTTTTTAAAAATATTTTCCCAAGGACTATCACAAAAAGTTGACTATTTTTTATATCATACTTACCGCTATATAGATCATCGTAAACGAAGTAAAACTTGCATGTCCACTGGGAAACGATAAATGCGACTCTTTGATAATTTTCTCCGAATAATTTAAACCACGACAGGTGAATTCCTCAATGTAACGGCCTTCATTCAAGGGATTTTCACAAGTGGTGCCATCACTCATTATTGGCTGGCAGACCTATTAATGAACAAATAAAAAAAAACCACAACAATATAGTACATTAAGTTCATAAAATCATTTACATACAAATTTAAATCAATTTACAATTTTATTTATTTAATTTTGTTCGAAAATTTCCAACTTACCGCAAAGAAATGTGGTCGCAATCTACCAATCGAATATTTGGCAATATCGGTGGTCAGCTCGCATACGCCTGAACCAAAGATCAGCAGGCCAATTCGTTTGTAGCATTCAATAGTCCAGTCGGGTATTTCCAAATGCCAAAAATAATAATTGCTTGTAGATAAATTACCAAAGCTGCGCATTTTATGGGAGTTTGCTTTGAAAAACTCGACCATTGTTATCTGAAAAAAAACCAATCGAATAGCAGAACAAATTATTGATTTTTTTTTTCTGTTAACAATTCTATTTGGTTAGGATTTCTATATTTTTTTGTACTTTTTTTCTGTGGTGGAAAATAATTTATTTGTTTAATGAAATACAGTACACAGCGATTTGTTTTGCGAATCTCAGCGGGATATTGAAATTAAGTTACAAGTGGTTTTTTAGACACAACAGCACACACACAAACGCACTCACACAGTGATTTAAATTTATTTGCATGGTGATTGTATTTCCGATGAATGATGACGGAGCCATGCGGCATAGTTTGCTTGGATTGTCCAGAGTTAATCGACCATTAAGATAAAACAAAACTCCAAGGTGGCGTTAGGAAATTATGGCAATTTAAAACAAATTACTATTCCGCAGATTGTCTTTTGGATTAATAGTCTAAATTTCATGGGAAATTTGTAATAGAACCATTTTTTAAATTTTATTTAAAAGGACATCGATTCTTTAAAGAATATTTTTCTAGGATTAACTTAGCAAATAATTGAATCAAAGAATACTGTTTTAAAGGACTATTAAAAAAAAAAGATTTTTTAAAGGATTATCACCGACCTAGGCTGGGATTTTTAAAAATTATTTTTTTAAGGATCTTCCTATGCTTATACGTGATTTTTTAAAGAATTTTCTCATTATAATGCTTGAGTTTAAGAATATTTTTTCAAGGACAGACAAAGGTGTGAGTTTTTAAAGATTTTTTTGCAGTGTTGTAGATTTTTAAGAATTTTTTTTCAGGGATTTTTTTAAGAATATATTTTCAAAGGTCCTTTTAAGAATAGTTATTCAAGCACTATCTCAGATTCAGGCGTGGATTTTTTTTAAGAATATTTTTTTCAAGGACTACCACAGGGGCAGGGTTGGATTTTTATATCCTACACAACTATGTTGTCAGGGTATTATAGCTTTTTGCAGCCCCAGAAGTTTGTAACGCAGCGAAATATTGGTCCTAGACCCACCTTTAAGTATACCGATCGTCATATCTCGACTAGCAGAGTCGATCTAGACATGTATGTCCGTCTGTCCATTATAAATTGTAAACACGATACAGGCTGCAGTTATGGACCAATCTTCACGAAATTTTGCATGTAGGATGTATATTAAATTTATCAATCCGTTTTCAACAGCTCGAAATATTCAGCGGAGACCCCACAAATTATACACATTCATGATCAGAATAAAATTCTATGCCGATTTGCATTTCGGCCTGTCTGTCTATCCGCCTGTTGAAATCATGACAGAGTTCACAATATTTAAAATAGTGCTCTGGAATTTTGCACAGTCATTGCTAGTACTGCTAAGATGTTTGGTATTGCAAATGGCAGATATCGGTCCACGTTTTGGTGTAGGCCTCATTTAACGGCACTTCCCAATATTCGGTATTTTGGACACGTTTCTAACCCAATTAGCTGTAATTTGGTATTTTGGGTTCTCATTGTATAGCACATCTCCTTACCAAAAATTATTAATATTAACCCAAGTTTCAGGGTAGACCCCATATACCTCCAAATACTTAATATTTTAGAGATTTTCGAAAGGTGTTTCATCCGAATTTGGCTGTAATTAGGTATTTTAGGTTCTCATTGAATATCACATATCCGTACCAAAACTGTTTAGTATTGAGCCAAGTTTCAGGGTAGTCTCCATAATATGGTACCAACTAATACCATTCTCATAACGGTATCACCACATCTCCGCACTAAAAATGACTAATCTTGACCCAAATCGGTATTTCGGGAAATTTTTTTCACATTTTTGCTTTATTCATTGTAATATAAAGCCCCAGCGCCTTCAGACAAAACCTGACAACTATATACTGTTCTTTACACAGACAGGCAATTTGAAAATTAATTTTTTCAATATGTGAGTTTCATAACAGATTATTATGCATAATTAGGCCAAGGTATGTTACCGATTTAGACTCGGGAAGGGAGACGCCATTTATGTGCACCGACATAGACTATCCAGTTTTAATATCACGAATTTAGTTTTTCCGGAGTTTAGTATTAAAAAGTTCATCCTTGCATATTCGCATCCTTCATCCTTGCATATTCGCATCCTTCATCCTTGCATATAATCTATTTTTGTACGAAGCACTCTTTCATCCGTGTATTTATATAGAAGACACACACCGTCTCCAAACATAAACAGTTTTCCGTAAAATGGAACATTTTTTAAATTGTTGGTATAAAGTTTAAATAATAGTGGACCCAACACACTTTCCTGAGGAACGCCATGGTTGACCGGTAGCCTACTACTTTCTTCTTTTCCAATTTGCACATTTTGTTATCGATTATTTAAAAAAAAATTAAAAAATAACAAAGTGTCATACTTGCACCCAACATATTTTAGCTTCTTCACTAGAATGCTGTGGTCCACAAGATCGAACGCCTTAGTGAAGTCAAAAAATACTCCAGCTATTCCTCTGCTGCCCGTATCCAATCCCTTGCATATGAACTCGGTTAGGTCAAAAAACTGCTTCGTCTGATCCGGAACCCTTCTTAAATTCAAACTGGTTCTCACATATAATTTTGTTCTCCTCAAGGTATGACGACATTTGCTCGTAAATGATCTTCTCAAATACTTTATCGATCACTGATAATACTGCAACAGGTCTGAACTCATCAATACTGTACGAGTTAGCATTCTTAGATACTGGTGTCACTCTATGGATCTTCAAACAGTCGGAATATTTTCCTTCTCTAATCATATTGCTAAAAATTTTTGTCAATACTCAGATAATCTCACCTCAGATAATTTCATGTTTGGTTTAATCCCATCTGAACCACAACATTGTTATGCCCAATGCCTTAAGTTCCTTAATGACTAGATCCTTTGACACCTCCAACAGACCAAACCGACTACGCTCAATCAATGAAATTAATATCATCATTTCGATATCGTTGGATGGAATTTCTTAATGCATGCACAGAGTCTATGAAATGTCTATTAAATTTATCCGCTTTCTAACCGAATTGGCTGTAATTTGGTATTTTGTGTATTGATCTCCGTTTTATTATAGCCACATAAATTATTATTATTTTTATACCCTACACAACTATGTTGTCAGGGTATTATAGCTTTGTGCAGCCCCAAAAGTTTGTAACGCCGCGAAGAAATATTGGCCCTAGACCCAACTTTATGTATACCAATCGTCATATCTCGACTAACTGAGTCGATCTAGACATGTGTGTCCATCCGTCCGTCCGTCTGTCCGTCTGTCCGTCTGTCCATTATAATTTGTAAACACGATACAGGCCACAGTTATGGACCAATCTTCACGAAATTTTGCATGTAGGATGGGTTCTGGCCAATGAAGACCCCTATTGTTTTTGGTAAAGATCGGTTAATATTTTGGGGATGAAATGGACCAAATACTTAATTTTTGTCGGTTTTTCTGGTCGCTCCAGAGGCCGCAGTTATGGTCAGAACATCGTGAAATTTTACATGGAGAAAAGGGATCAGGCCAAAGGATTATGCCTGTTTTTATAAAGATCGGTCAATATTTAGAGGGTCAAATGGACCCTGACTTTTGTGTGAAAAGTCACAAAATTTGTATTCTATAGCGTATATATTTACCCCTGAAGGACATAGACCCGAAAAGTTTATATTATATCCGAAAGGAGTGGTTGACCTTTAAATTAATACCAATTATATTGTTGTATGTGCTCGGATGTGGAAGTAACACCTAAATATTTACAGGTATCTCCGTATTCCTATATTATTTAGTAACCCATTATCACTCTACAGAGGGGAACTATAGCGCTGATCGCTTTGAAATGTTCCATGAGGTTCCACTTATGGTCAAGGACAACGCCTATAATATTCGGTGATGATCAGAATAAAATTTTGGAATGAAGTGGACCGAAAACTTAATTTTTTGTGTTATTTTCGAGTCGATCTATAGACCACAAATGAAAGCCGAACATCACAACACAACCCACGGTGAAGGGAATCTGGACAATAGCTCTACTGAATACTCATAATATTCGGAAAATATGTCAGTGTTAGGAAAAGGTGCTGTTTACCTCTAATCGGGTAAGAGGGTGCAAATTTCACGAAATATTGCCCAGGCTCGGAATATACATCCGCAGAAAATTTGAGTTCCGTGGTAGTTGTGTAGGGTATCGTATGGTCGGCCCCGTCCGACTATACTGCTCCGCTCACTGGTTTTATTATTTCTTTAAAAATATTTCTACTTCAAAAAAAAAAAAAATTTAAATACTCTACGTTTTTGGAGAATTTGAAAAAATATTTGTGGTTAGAAGAAATTATCTTATAGTAGTGGAATGAGTGTTCTCCCTATATTACTTCCAAAAATGTCGGGCATTAAGACTTGTTTGTTGCCTTATCCGAAGCTATTTTAGTAATTTGTTCAACACAAACCCCTTTGTTTAGTTTATCGCATTAAAGAAATAATGCCGCCATTGGACCATAATCTATATTCTTACACCTTAAGTTAAACATATTTACATGTGCTCTATGCTCAACATATTTCGTTAGACATACATGCCACATATTTGCCTACACGAAGCATAATGTGGGCATGCGCACCAGCAGCATACAACAATAGAATGTGGCGGTTTGCTACCGTTTTGTTCTCATTTTTTCTGTTTGCACTTTGTTTCGGTGTTGTTAGATCTTCCGATCTCCGCATAGATTTATGAAAGATGTAAAGAAAACAAAGGCCACCTGAAGGCTACAACATAAAACCAAACAATGTTTATACGAAGTCCGTTTCGTCCCGTACTGCTCCGCATTATCTTATTTGCTTGTTATTCGTTCGCTTGCTCTATAACTCTTTTGTGGAAGTTGTGGCGACGCTCTTAAAGAAACCGCCATCACCGAAAGTCGGTTAATTGATTATTTTCACATTGTATTTACATTAGCACACTGAACAAATCGCCGACATTTTTCCAACAACACTTGGGCATAATGGCATAGATTTAGAGATAAGCTCAAGTGAAAAACCTCTATGAAGAAAAGTTTGTTATGTCCCACGAGGACAGGTAACAAGCAAAACATTTTTTAAACTGGGTTACAAAAATTAAAAAAAAACACACACACACAAACGAGCTGATTATTATCGGAAAATGTTGGTGTAAATTGATTTTCACTAAAGACGTGTTGTTGTTAATTAAACCATCCTCTCTCGATAATAAATTTGCACTCATTTTATGGCAAATTGCTAATCGACATGTAATGACTATAGATTATGTCTTGGCGAAATGTGAAAACATTAAATAAAACAAGGGAAATATTTTGTATAGTTTAGTGGAATAAACTTGTTATAACTCAAAACATTCTTTAAAAAATCCGCCGATAGTAACCGAAAAAATATCACCTAAAATATTTTTTAAAAACAAATCCCTGAACAATTTTTTTAAAGTCCATGCCTGTGTTAGTCCCCGAAAAAATATTATTAAAAAAAAAAACATAAAACATAAAAACATAAAAACATGATAGACCTTGAGAAATATTCTTTAAAACATTCACGCCAGCGGAAGACCCCAACAAATATTCTTTAAAAAAATTTAGTTATTTTTGATAGTTATGAAAAAAATATTTTTTTAAAAATCCTACACAAATGATAATCTCTGAAATAATATATATATTTTTCTTTTGAAATCCACGCCTGAAAAATATAATTTTGAAATCCACGACTGAAAATTTTTCTTTTGAAATCCACGCATGAAAAATGTAATTTTGAAATCCACGACTGAAAAATTTTCTTTTGAAATCCACGTCTGAAAAATATAATTTTGAAATCCACGCCTGTGATAGACCCTGAAAAATATTCTTTATAAAATCCACGCCTTTGATAGTCCCTGAAATAATATTGTTTGTAAAATTCAACTCTCTCCGAGCCCGTGAAAAAAATATTCTTTAAAACCTGTGAAAGACCCTGCAAAAATATTCTTTAAGAACTCCATGCATCTGATAGCCATTGAAAATTATTTTTTAAAAAAATCCTTAACTCTAATGGGCCCTGAAATTTATTTTTTAAAAAATTCACGCCTCTGATATCCCCTAGAATATTCTTTAAAATACCCACGCAAGTGATAGCCCCTGAAAAATATTTTTTAAAAAATCCCCTAAAATATTCTTTAAAATACTAAGCCAGAGATAGTCCCTGATAATATATTTTTATACCCTACACAACTATGTTGTCAGGGTATTATAGCTTTGTGCAGCCCCAAAAGTTTGTAACACCGCGAAATATTGGTCCTAGACCCACCTTTAGGTATACCGATCGTCATATCTTGACTAGCTGAGTCGATCTAGACATGTGTGTCCGTCCGTCTGTGCATTATAATTTGTAAACACGATACAGGCCACAGTTATGGACCAATCTTCACGAAATTTTGCATGTAGGATGGGTTCTGGCCAATGAAGACCCCTATTTTTGGGAAAGTTCGGTTAATATTTAGGGGATGAAATGGACCAAATACTAAATTTTTGTCTGTTTTTCTGGTCTCTCCAGAGGCCGCAGTTATGGTCCAAACATAATGAAATTTTGCATGGAGAAGGGGATCGGGCCAAAGAATAAGCATGCCTGTTTTCATAAAGATCGGTCAATATTTAGCGGGTCAAATGGACCCTGACTTTTGTGTGAAAAATTACAAAATTTGTATTCTATAGCGTATATATTTACCCCTGAATAACTAAGACCCCAGAAGTTGATATTATATCCAAGAGGAGGTGTTGATCTTTAAATTAATACCAGTTATATTGTTGTATGTGCTCGGATGTGGGTGTTACACCTAAATATTTGCGGGTATCTCCGTATTCGTATATTATTTAGTAACCCATTATCACTCTAGAGAGCGGAACTATAGCGCTGATCGATTTGAAATGTTCTATGAGGTTCCAGTTATGGTTAAGAACAACGACTATAATTTTCGGTGATGATCAGATACTAATTTTGGGATGAATTGGACCGAAAACTTAATTTTTTGTGTTATTTTCGAGTCGATCTATAGACCACAAATGAAAGCCGAACATCACAACACAACCCACGGTGAAGGGAATCTGTACAATAGCTATACTGAATACTCGTAATATTCGGAAAGTATGTCAGTGTGAGGAAGAGGTGCTGTTTACCTCTAATCGGACAAGAGGATGCAAATATCACGAAATATTGCCCAGACTCACAACATCCGCAGAAAATTTAAGTTCCGTGGTAGTTGTGTAGGGTATCGTATGGTCGGCCCCGTCCGACTATACTGCTCCGCCCACTGGTTAAAAAATCCACGACTCTGATATCCCCTAAAAATATATAATAGACCCTGAAGAAATATTCTTTAAAAATCCAAGCCTGTAATATGTAGACCCTGGAGAAATATTCTTTAAAAATCCAGTCCTGCAATAGACCCAGAAGAAATATTCCTTCAAAATCCATCCTCTCATAGATCCTAAAAAAATATTCTTTAAAAATCCACGCCTTTCGTGGATCCTGAAAAATTATTCTTTAAAAACCCACGCCTTTCATGGATCCTGAAAAATGATTCTTTAAAAACCCACGCCTCTTATAGATTCTGAGAAAAAATATTCTTTAAAAATCCACTCCTATGATAGACCAAAAAAATATTATTTAAAAAATCCACGCTTCTCTAGACCCTGAAAATTTTCTTTAAAAAATCCACGCCTGTGATAGATTCTTAAAAACTCCACGCCTGTGATAGATTCTTAAAAACTCCACGTCTGTGATAGATTCTTAAAAAATCCACGCCTGTGATAGACCCTAAAAAATTCTTTATAAAAAATGATTTAAAAAATCCAAGTCTGTTTGAGTCTTTAACAATGTTTTTTTAAGTGCGCCTGTAATAGTCCCCAAAAAAATTTGTTTAAAAGATCCAAGCCTGTTTGAGCCTTTAAAAAATGTTTTTTTTAAGTCCAAGCTTGTGATAGTCCATGAAAAAATATTTTTTTTAAAAACCCACGCCTGTGATAGTCCGTAAAAAATATTCTTCAAAAAATACACACCAGTCCCAGCGCTTAATAAAAATATTCATTAAAAATTTACTAAGAAAATTTTCCTTTCATTCATTTTATTTTTGTCGTACTGTAATATCATGACATGTTATTTTTTAATAAACATAAATCACATGAAGAATATTACGTGTGTTTGTATACATAAAAATATTGTTTATTTATATAACTCCATTGACTTACCACCGAAATCGGCACCACAAAACACATCAAATACAGCAACCAGCTCGGCATTGTCGATTCATGATAGGGATGCATTAGCGAATCATCATTGCAAAAGAAGCCGCGTTTATACGCTTCACCCCAAAGTGTAAAACTGAGAATGGGTAAGCCAACTGTAAAAAGAATAAAAAAAATATTATTGTAAATAAAAACATAAACATTTAAAACATCTCAAGTGGTATTTTAGTATTTTTCTTCTTTTCATTTGAAAACTTTTTTTTCCTCCGTTAATATTAAAATAAAAATTTATCTTTAAGGAAAATTTACAGCCGCCACATAAAACACTAATAAATAATATGCACAGTTGCTGGTGGTGGTGGTGCCTGTTTCGAGCCTCTCATTTTGGCTCGCTATTCACTGTTTTCTGATAGCTATTTTTCTGAATGGTTTAACTAAGCCAGGCCAACAACAGAGATTAAGCTAATGTTTGAGATGTCATTAAATGAAGTATTTCTCACACATCGCTGGTGGCTGGATGGCTGGCTGGCTGGGCTGGTGTCCACAGCAGCCACAAGTTATTGTATGGCTGACATATGAGGTAGTCCAGCAGCCAAGCTGGCAACAAGTCAGCCAGCAAAACCGTCCCAGTGAGTGGCAGTCAGGTGTTCATTCACATGTGGCCAACATTACCATTCACCATAACACCACAACACCACCGGCACCGCCACCATATTAGCTTTACCGTATCAGTTTACAGTTTGATAATGACACCAATGGTCGGATCTAGAGGCAACCAAAACTGCAACAACAACAACAACAAGCACATGAAAATAAAATCAGCCTATAAACAACAACACAGACAAGATTGGTAAATATTTTTACCAATTACATTGAGGTTTCGACTTGAGTTTGACATGCAAATATAGATCGCAACCACGATAAGTGTAATTCGAACCACAGGCTGGCTGGAGGTGCAGCAAAAAACTGCAACAATCAACTAAAACAACAACAACAAAAGGGCACAGGTTAAAGATGTTGTGTTTATGTTTTAACAACACCGAATGTGACAAGTGAAATAAATTGTCAATTTTGATAATTTATGGTGGACTAGAAACAAGAAGCAAAAATTAGAAGGAGTTATATGTGAAAGAAGACCTTATATTGGTCTTGTGAAGATATACGGACTAGTAAAGATTCGGTAAAACTTCCTAAGATAAAATTTGTAATATAGGTTTTCTATATGGCACCTTCTATAGGTGGCTTCTGTGGGTGTTCTATAGATAGTCGACCTTCTATCGGTTTTTATATCTCGACTAGCTGAGCCGATCTTGACATATGTGTCCGTCCATCCGTCTATCTGTCCATTCTACTTTATATCCACGATACTGGCCACAGTTTTGGATCACTAGTCATGAAATGTTGCATGTAGGATAGGTTTTGGTCAATGAAGACCCATATTGTTTGTGATAATAATCGGTTAATATTTAGGATATAAAATGGACCAAACACTTTATTTTTGTCGTTCTAGAGTCCATCATTATATGAAGAACGTCACATATTTTAAGTGGTGAAGGGGGTCTGACCAAATACTTAGAACGGCTGTTTAGATGATGTTCGGTCAATATTTCGAGGGTCTAATCAAATAAAGCCTAAAGTGACCAAATATTATTTTATGTCGTAGTTTTTCACCTCGGAAAAACAAGATTTGGAAAATATGCCAGGGTTAGAAAATGGAGCTGTGGAGCCTATAATCGGTCAAGATGGTGGAAATATGGCGAAATATTGCCCAGGCTCAGAATATAAAACCGCATAAATGTTTATTTTCCTGGTAGTTTTGTAGAGTATCATATGTTCGGCTGCGCCCGACTTCACTGCTCTTTTCACTGATCTGTATATTCAATAGATAGGCCTTCTGTAGGTAGGAGCCTTCCTAAGGGTCATCCATAAATAAGAGATATTCGTTGGGGATTCTATATTCGTTGGAGACTTTCTACAGGTCTCCTCCGGGGGAACTGAGGCCTTGGAGATTTTTTTCTATAGAAAAAAAGAGCTCAATGAGCACTGGGGAGGTTGATGAGACTTTTTTCTAAAAAAGACCACTGAGATCGCTTCTAAAAATATGAGACATTCCTTGGGACTTCTATGTATAGGAGACTTTGCTGTTAAAATAACTTAGTGACAACGGAGGACTGTACCAATTTGTTTCTTCAGAAAAAATACCTCGATGGGTACGGAGGTCTAAGTCGTTTTTATACCCTCCACCATAGTATGGAGGGTATATTAATTTTGTTTTTCCGTTTGTAACTCATCGAAATAATCATTTCCGACCCTATAAAGTATATATATTCTTGATCAGGGTAAAATTCTATGACGATATCGCCATGTCCGTCTGTCAGTCTCTCTGTTGTAATCACTCTAGCGTCTAAACGAATGGAGATAGATCGCCAAAATTTGGCATAGAGTCGTCTTTTGTCTGCAGGCAGGTTAAGTTCGAAAATGGGCTTTATCGGTTTAGGCATAGCTCCCATATAAACACTTTCTTCTTGTACCCCCCAATTTTCGGTATTTTGAGGTTCTTGAGTGCGTTTTTAAACTGAATTCGCTGAAATTTGGTATATTGAGTTGTTATTGGGTAGCAAATCTTTCCACTAAAAATTATAAATATGGGTCCATATTTTCGGATAGCCCCCATATAAGGGTACCCCCAATTTTGCGGGGGATTTGATCGCATTTTTCGACCGAATTCGCTGAAATTCGATACTTTGAGTTCTTATTGGGTAGCAAATCTCTATACTAAAAATTATAACTATAGGTCATTTTTTTCGCGTTGGCAGAAGTTTTCAATGTGAACTGCGAAACGATTTTTTTTCATTTTGGGGTTCAATTTCGGATACCTCAAGTCCATACACATTATTGATCCCTTGTGACCATTATGCATTTGTTGCATCCATCGCATTTTGCACTTTGGAACCATACAGCCATGGTTCAAAGTTTTTTGGGTTATTATTTATTTTTTTATTTATAAATTTAATTTGTTATTGTTTACACTTAAGAATTAACAACAAAAAACTGTTCATTTAAATACAAAAAATTATTTCAACACGAGTAAAAGATTTGTGTACGCAAATTTCCATTGTTTATGGAATGAAAACGAAATGGGGGTGGATTATTGGATGATGGACTTTGTTTTAAAATCAGGCAGAAGAGGGGGGAACGACCGCAAAGGTGCACAAAATATGGCAACGCATGATGGGTTCATGTCATTCGAACACCCCTTAATTTTTGCTTTTAATATTTATTTCAACTCGAGGCCAAAGTAATGATGATATGTGACTTGTCATGGTGATCAGTGTCCACAAGAGGGGTCTGGTTGTGTGTCCATTTGTTTGTTTCTTTTTTTTTTTGGGAAAATGTGGATACAATGGCTGTGTTACTATTTTACATCTCTCCCCCAGATTTATATTGAAATGATTGTGTTTGTGTTGTGCTACCCTTTAATAGGGTGCTGCAAAATAATTATTTACGTTGCTGTTGTTGCTGTTCGTGATCATCATGCCATCATCCCCCATCCATAAAATATGTTTTATTTAAAGTGTTTTGTATTTGTTCGTTTTATCACTTTGTTTATATTTGATTTTATTGGTTTTTTTTGGCGGGAGCATTGAGCGACCTGAATTAAATAAAAGCTTTCGTATTTGAAAAAATTAAATGGCCTTTTTGTTTTAATATTTTCAATTTACAAAATAAAAATCTGTGTTACTGTAGTATGCGATTGTTTCGAGAAAGGTCTGGCCACAGCATGATATTCCGCGCATAATATTTATTGTCTGTTTCAATCCCACGTTATTTAATATCACAAAATTTAGAATTTATTAGATCCCAATAGATTTTTAGCTGCAGAGTATTCCTTTTAAACAATTCCTTTTAAACAAAATTCCGAACAGGCTTCCCTAAAACGTGAACTAATATTGATCATGTTTAGTAGATTTTACACCCCATTAGAACCTGTCAAATTAAATCAAATTCAGTTAAACAGCCGAATAAAAGGGGGGTACCGAACCCAAAGTAACGAATAAAGAGGTCATACCATTATATGGAGGCTATCTGAAAACATGGGCCAATATTGATAATGTTCGGTAAGTACATTGTCTACCCAATGAGAATCCAAAATTTTACATTGCTCCTAAATTGGTTGAAACACGTGCTCAAGTTTTTTAAAAGTCCGAGCTTTGGGGTGTAGCGTTATATACGGGCTTTCCTAAAAAGTTGATCAATATTGAGAATTTTTAGTAGGAAGAAGATTTTCTACCATACCACAACCCTAAATAAAATATTAAACCCAATTACATAGGAACATGTGCCCAAACGGGGGGTACCGTTATATGTGGGCTAAACTAAAAAGTGGGCCAGTATTGATAATTTTGAGTAGGATGATTTGATACCCAATTAGAACCAAACGTTACGTTAATACCGAATATTAGGGGTACCGTTATATGGGAACTATACGAAAACGTGATATACCCCCATTTGCAAGACCAACCACTCTAGGAGCAATGCCAGTGATAAATGTGAAAGCTCTTTGTCAAATAATGCGATGTCGATCGTGTTTGAATAGACAGGCCGACGCGCATAAATCGACATAGAATGACAAATTTAATATACAAATAGGCATTGACACGTGGTAGATAGTGGAAGGTTTTAATACCCATTGACTATGGGGGGTCATCCCCTAAAACACAAAGCAACCATGGGGAAGCGCTAAACAACTCAGCTCTGCTATGCAGATATCGGCGAAAATCCGGTAAATTGAGTAAGTAGTTCTACAAGGATAGAAAGAATCGAATTGTCTCTTCATGCGAAACAACTCAGTACCGGCATATATTTGATCTTCGCACAAGACATATAGTCATCATGCGATCATGAGCACATTCTTCAAATGCGGATGTAATCGTAAATCTCATCGAGGGTGGCGCTACAAGCATACAGTTGACAGACAATACTGAAGTTCACTTTAAGAAAAACCAGCGAAGAGCAAACTTTACCCAATGAAGATTAAACCGATATAAAGCCATCTTAGAATGCCGGAGAAACGAAGATGCTCACGACGAGAAGGAAGGGGTCTATGGGGCATATAAAGGCGGGAATTGACCAGAATAAACGGACGTTCTTGTATCGTCCACAGCTGATGTATGTCCCCAATGATAACGCTGAATTGTCCTCCAATTCCTTGAAGCAGATTCGATTTGTGGAAGAGCATACGTACATCAAACCTACAATCCAAGAAGGATTCAATTCTATGGGGTATAAGGCCGGGGAAATGACCAGAATAAACGGACGATACAAGAACCCACTGCTGATGTATGCCCCCAATGATAATCCTGAATTGTCCTCCAATTTCTTGAAGCAAAGCCATCTTAGAATGCCGGAGAAACGAAGATGCTCACGACGAAAAGGAAGGGGTCTATGGGATATATAAAGGCGGGAATTGACCAGAATAAACGGACGATACAAGAACCCACAGCTGATGTATGCCCCCAATGATAACGCTGAATTGTCCTCCAATTCCTTGAAGCAGATTCGATTTGTGGAAGAGCATACGTACATCAAACCTACAATCCAAGAAGGATTCAATTCTATGGGGTATAAAGCCGGGGAAATGACCAGAATAAACGGAAGATACAAGAACTCACAGCTGATGTATGCCCCCAATGATAATCCTGAATTGTCCTCCAATTCCTTGAAGCCGATTCGATTTGCGGAAGAGCATACGTACATCAAACCTCCCAAAAACAAAAGCAGAATGCCACAAGAATATAAAGAGTGAAGGCGGACAAGTTTGCACACAGCCTTCGAATCTTCTATAAAGTCTAGCAATTGCTAAAAGACTAACCGGATAATACGATAGAGGAAAATGACAACAAACACTTGTAAGTAGTCTCCATTACAGCTTTGCTATGCAGATGTCGGCGAAAGTCCGATAAATTGAGTAACGAGTTCTACAAGGATAGAAAGAATCGAATTGTCTCTTCATGCGAAACAATTTAGTTCAAGCTTGTGAGTTAGAAGAACATTCCTCTACTATAGACGGAAACTGTTTTTATTAGAGGACGAGGCAAGAAGAAAATGACAGTTGAGTGGAGGACATATGATTAGGGTCATCCAATTGAATCTGAGAAGTCACTCATAGCGAATAGAACGACGAATCGACTCTCCTTACCTTAGACAGAATAGTCCATGGAAGTCTGGATAAGAACAAGTATATGGCGTATTATGTGTCCAACACTGTCTTCTACAGGATTGGGAAGGCAATAAGCGGAGGAGGCAGAAATATTCGACATGAAATGAGATTGACCGAATAGGAGATCACCGAAAAACTATTTACGATAGGTCAATTGATTGAGTATATTCAAAGAAACCTACATCGGGGTAAGAAGGAAATGAAAGGTCGGAGGGAAAAATTAATTAAAGTTAATATACATATCGAGCTTATTCTGGAACATTGGAATATTAAAAACAACAACCTGTATAATATGTCACAAAAGCGTATGCTTTCTCTTCTCCCCAGAATTGTCAACATAGGAGGCAACCATACAGAAGAATGATAACATTGACCTCCCATTCAACTTCACAGTCCATGGATTTTCCAATTGAAGAGACTGTAAAAATGATGACATGATGATCCAAGAGACTGTAAAAATATTTCTTGGATATGAAAAGAGAAAGCCGAAGCATGGTCGATGAAGGCGGAACTGGTCATCTATCTATGTCATAAACATCTCTTGGGAATATATAGATGAAACTTAGTGTAGGGGTCATACCAAGTCACTAGGGCCAAATTGGTGGAGTGAATAAAGATAATCAAAAACTCCATGCATATCCAATGTGCCTCTTGTTGCGAACAAGAGACATTGCTAATTTGCTAAATATGAGATAGGCTCTGACCTATTTCTCCAAAATAGATCCCATAATCCTTCACGAGTTTTCCAAAATTATGATATGGCAGAGTGACCGCAACAAATCCTTCTTCTTCCCTTTATTGTTGTATGATGGATCAATCGGATTTTCGATTTATTTTTTACGCTGGATGTATGTTGAGTGTAGCTTTCGGCTTCTGATATGCTCCCACATTGCTCTATTTTGCCGCACAATAACAACATCATTCCGATTTTAATATTTAAAAAAGGAACAACAATTAAAAACAACAACAACAACAAGTTGACAACTTTCTTTACTAAAGATCACGAACAAAGTGCAAAAAGTTCAATTGCGAACAAAAGTTGCGCCAAGACGAAAAAAAAACGAAGCAGAGAAACATTCACACGCAAATGATAAGGCCCATTAATAATATGAAAAAGATGTGACGAAGAATGACGCCTTACAACACAAATGAATGAATATGAGGCGGTGTAGGAGGAGTGGAAGCATTCTAATGTCAACGATGTGAATATTTTTCTATTCATGAATGGAGAATCGAATTAATTGACAATTTCGCATAAATTGATTTTAATTCTCCAAATGTTGTTTTTTTTTTTGGCACGATCAAAGGTCAACAATTACGATTTGATTGAGTCAACATACGGTCGATCTTCGGCGAATGATTCAGATACATACGAGTTCTATGAGAATTTTGTTTACACTCGGGGAGGTGATAAAAAAATCAACAACATAGTGAGCTAGCTGGATGTTGTGTACATTGTTGTTAATTAAATAAAAAAGACGAGGAGTAGTGCAACAGTTTGGGGGGAGATAAATCTGAAACATTAACGAACTTTTCCTATTTCGAAAAAAATCCTAGGTGGGAACAGTGATTTTTTTCATAGAAGAATGGAGAAAAAGTATGTCCTCAAAAAAATCGCAGACCTCAGTTCTCAACCCGAGGTAATTTTTTCTAAAGCAAAAATCGGCAGACGTCAGTTCCCAGTCTGAGGTAAGTTTTTTTAAAGAAAAATTCCCGCATTGACATATTTTTTTATAGAAAAAAAAATAGAAAAAATCAGACCCCAGTTCCCGCACTGAGGTACTTTTTTCTATAGAAAAAATTCGCAAACCTCAGTTCTCGAACTCAGGCCAGTTCTCGAACGTTGGCAATTTTTTTCTATAGAAAAAAAATCGCAGACCTCAGTTTTCGAACTGGGGTAATTCTTTTCTATAGAAACTGAGGCAGTTTTTTTATAGAAAACAAATTGCCTGCCTTCCTTAGTTCCTGAAATGAGGCAATTTTTTCTATAGAAAAAAAAATGGCAGACCTCAGTTTTTGAACTGAGGTAATTTTTTTGTATGGAAAAAAAAATTGCAGACCTCAGTTCTTGAACTGAGGTAATATTTTTGTATAGAAAAAATTCGCAAACCTCAATTCTCGAACTGTGGCCATATTTTCTATTGGAAAAATTCCAGACCTCAGTTCTCAATCTAAGACCATTTTTTTCTATAAAAAAAATCGCAAACTCAGTTTGAGAACTTCCCGAAATGAGTTCTCGAAATGAGGCCATTTTTTCTATAGAAAAATGGCATACCTCAGTTCTCGAACTGAGGCAATTTTTTTCTATAGAAAAAAATTCTCACAGACCTCACTTCCCGAAATAAGGCAATTTTTTTTTCTATAAAAAAATCACACAGACATCACTTCCCGAAATGAGGCAATTTTTTTCCTATAGATAAAAATTCGCAGACCTCAGTTCCCGAAATGAGGCAAGTTTTTCTATAGAAAAAAATTCGGAGACCTCAGATCTTGAGCTGAGACAATATTTTTCTATAAAAAAAATCACAGGTCTCAATTCTCAAACCGAGGCCATTATTTTCTATAGAAAAAAAAATCGCAAAGATTTAAGACCTCAATTCCCGGACAGAGGGATTTTTTTCTATAGAAAAAAAATCGCCAGAACTCAGTTCCCGAACTGAGGCAACTTTTTTTCTATAGAAAAAAAATCGTCAGACATCAGTTCCCGAACTGAGCCAAATATTTTTACAGAAACAAATTCGCCACACCTCAGTTCCCGAACTGAGTCAACTATCCCGAACTGAGAAATATTTTCCTTTTTCTTTGAAAAAATTGCATTGCAACTGAGCCATTTTTTATAGAGAAAACACACAGACCTCAGAAATGAGACCATTTTTCCTATTGACAAATTTGCTCTGGCCTCAGAAACAAGGTAATTTTTCCTATTGAAAAAATCGGCAAAAGTCCTCAGAACTGAGGACCTTTTTATAGAAATAAAAAAAACGTACAGGCTATAGAACTGAAGCAATTTTTTTTATAGAAAAAATCCGCTGACCTCAGTTCTTGAACTGAGGCCATTTTTTCCATAAAAAAATCGTAAACCTCATTTCTGGCACTGAAAAATATTTTTTTGTTTCGAAAAAATTGCATTGAGCCCATTTTTTCTATAGAAAAAAATCACAGACCTCAGTTTCATACCGAGGCAGTTCCGAAGTTCTCACTGAAACATTATTTTGAATTTTTGAAACTTTTAGTTTTTTTTTCTACTTACCACACGCCAATAGAACAAAATCCAATAAAATTCGACAACAAATCTTCCTCGTTCCATATAATTCCATTTTGTGTTTTTGTCCCAGGTTCGCTCCGACACCCGTTACGTTGTGGCCACCACCACCAACCGAACCGATATATATGTTCAAACTTTTCTCGTTTTTATTGCTATGATTAATATTGTTGTTGTTATTGTTGTTGTTATGGTGATTCGATAGCGATGACAATGTTGTACTGGCCGTACTCGCCGTTGTTGTTGATGATGGTGATGCCGAGATGCCACTGCCCGAACTGTGGCCCAGACCGCTGCTGCAACCATTATTACTAGCCCCAAGATAATTGCCCGTACCCATTGCCGAACCAGAGCCACTGTCACAGTTGGCATTACCATTCGACAGTAAGGCTGTTGTTGTTGTTGCTGTATCTTGACTGCTGATGTTGCTGTTAACGGCAGCCACAGCAGCTGCTGCACCACACATACCCACCGATATGGAGGCTGATGCCAGTGTGGCACCATTCAATGTCGGCGAAGATGGTTCACTGCAGCTGCTTTGACTCTCAAGACGTTGCAGAGGTGTGGTGTCACACACGCTAGTGGGTCGTAAGCTGTTCATGGTAGTTGGCTGTGTAAATTCTGGGGGTAAAAGTTCTGGATCCAAATGTAATAATTTCCTCCGAAGAATTGGTGGGGGTGGGGTGCTAACTTGCTTATCAATTCGATATTAATTCAATCAAGAGGAGTTCTTTTTTTGTTTTTGTTGTTGCGTGGGGAGCATTAATGGGGTTCTCTCCTCATACTTTCATCTCCCTGTGGCGGCAGCTAATCAATTGCTGACTTTTCAATCAATCCAAATCCATAACAAATGAAATGTGGAACGCCGATGACGTTGATGTCTGCTGGTGATGTTTGATCTAATGCTCTTGGTTGTGGCTAACGGTAATGGAATAATGCGATGATGACGATGCCAGTGTCGATATCGATGCCGTCACTGACTCTGCGATGAGTTCTATTTCTGTGAAATACTCAAGAGGCATGAAGTACTTGTACTTGTATTTCTTGTTGTTGTTGTCAGCTACCTCTTCCTTTGTTGTTGTTTATCTATGCTGATGACATGTGAAAATTGACTATTGGGTGTACAACATTGTTCCTGCCTCTTGGGGTTGTTGACTCTTTTGTTTTGTTTTTCGGATCATCAATACCTGGAGATTAGAAGAGAAGAAAAAAAACAACCATAATTAAGTTAAGGTTAACTAAGAAAACAATAGACGATGTTGTTGTTTATGTTTGTTGTTATTTGTATACCAAAGGTTAAGGTGTCAATTTTCAAATCAGCAGGTAGTAAAAATTCTGAGATCTTCATGTTTGGAAATTTCATTTCTGCGAAATATCGAAATGACGAAGATCACGATGACGATGATGAAATTAAAACTCATTATTGCACTTGCCAAGATTAGGGTAATGGGACACTGTTATTTTCTGGAAGTACTCCGAGAACAGGTCATCGATCTTAAAAACTAATTAATGGGGTGTTGGCTTTCCAGCACTTAACTAAATGGGATAACCAAATTCATTGAAATTAAATTCTACAAAAACAAAGACTTAGCAATGGATAGGTGATTTTTTCCGCAATTGAATATTGATTCTTTTTTTTAATAGAAAAAAATTCTAACTAATGTTAATACAAAATAGAAAATTTTAAAAATTCCGTTCCGGAAATACCATACCTCCACATTTTTGATATTTTGAAGGTTTTCGCTGCCATTTAATTTCTTGGTGGGTAAAAACCTTCTTCAAAAAATTTTAAAGTATAGGACCAAGTTGTGCCATAGGCCCCATATAAATGTTCCACACTAATATAGATTTGTTCATGGCCCTATGCTCATTTTTCAATCGGAGTGTCTGTAATGTTGAGTTCCGGGAACTTTTTGGGTAAAAAAAACACACCTTCGCAGAAAATTGTCTGTCTAGTCAGGTCTTGCGTTTGGCAGAGCTACCATATAAAGAACTCTTTCTAAGTATTTTCCTGGTATTAAACAAAGATTCCAACCACAGTGGCTGTAATTCGGCATTCCGGGGCTTTGGTGGGTAACAAAAACTTCTACACAGAAAATGTAAAAATTTTCCAAACAAAGTGTGTGTAATGTTGCATACCGGGTCCTTTTTGGGTAAAAAAAAACCATTTGCCGAAAATGTTCTGTCTAGTCTGGTCTAGCTTTTGCCTTAGCTCCCATACTATGGTATTATCCTATTTTAAGCATTTTCCTGGTGTTAGACAAAGCTTCCAACCACAGTGGCTCTAATTCGGAAAAATGTTAAATATAGGACCTTGGCCACCACACAAATGTACCGCCCATTTTATTGCATTTTCATGGCTCTGGGCTTATACTCCAACCGAAGTGGCTGTAAGTTGGTATTCCGGAAAAAAATGTTAAAGGGTGAACACAAATGTACCGCCCATTTTATTGCATTTTCATGGCAAAACCGAAGTGTTGTAATTTGTCACACTGGATCCTTTGAGCGCAAAAACAACAATTGTAGAACATTTCCAAAATATGACCATGGTTTGACATAGCCCCCATATAAAGATTTGCCTTTCAGTTCAGATATGTTGATGGTCCCAGACTCAATCTGCAACCGAAATGGTTATAATTTTGGAATTTTGGTTAATTGAAGGGTGAAAATATCTTTGCACAAACTGCTCCCTGCTTTGGCATAGCTCACAAATAAAGGCCACCTGTCACCAACTGGCGAAGAACGCCCAGTTCGGCCTGGCCTAAGGTCTATAAAGTGGGTAATGAAGTCTGCGAATTTTTTCTATAGAAAATAATGTCCTTAGAGTAGGAACAGAGATCTGCAATTTTTTTCTGTAGAAAAATAACATCATTGTGAGAACTGAGGTCAGTGATTTTTTTATAGCAAAAAATAGCCTCGGTGAGGGAACTGAGGTCTGTGCTTTTTAGCTATAGAAAAAATATGTTCAATGTGTGTACTGACGTCTCCAATTTTTTCTATAGAAAAAAATTTCCTCAGTAAGAATTGGTGTCTGTGAATTCGGTTTTCTACAGAAAAAATACATCAGTGCGTGAACTAGGAACTGAGGTCTGCGATTTTTTATGGACAAAAACTCCTTAGTCTAGGAACTGAGGTCTGCGATTTTTTCTGTAGAAAAAATGCCTCAGTTCGAAAACTGAGATCTTTGACTTTTTTCTGTAGAAACAAATGGCAGTTTTTCTACTAGAAAAAATACCTCAGTTGGAGAACTGAGAACTGTGCGATTTTTTCTATAGAAACAAAAAATACCTCAGTTGGGGAACTGAGGTCTGCGAATTTTTTGCTATAGAAAAAAATACCTCAGTTTGGGAACAGAGGTCTGCGAATTTTTTTTCTTATAGAAAAAAACCTCAGTTTGGAAACTGAGGTCTGCAAATATTTTTCTATATAAAAAATACCTCAGAGAACTGAGTTCTGCGGTTTTTTTTTAAATTGGCCTCGGTACGATTACTAAGGTTTGTGATCTTTTTTCATAGAAAAATGGCCTCAGCGCGTGATCTGATGTCCACTTTTCTGTTTTCTATTTGTACAAAAAGTGTACAAATCCCTTTAGTTCTGGTGTGGGCATTTCTTTTATCGAAATTCCGAAATAGTCCAGATGTAAAGAATGAATGTTTCTTATTTATATTCAAAATAAATTTTAACATTTTGATTTATTGACAGCTTTTTATCCACAATGAAAAAATGAAAAAAAAGATCTCTGGCATTCGTCAATCAATACAATGTCCCTGAACTTCAACAAAAACGCACACACACCAAAATCTATTTTCTATTTTATAAGATCTTTGAACTTTTCAACTTTGATGCCATTTACAAAACAGAACAACAACAACACACATGGAGGAAAACATTACAGCTACTTAGGCCACTAAACTTTATCTTAAGTTATTCAAGCAACTAAGAGAAAATTTACGATTGTTTTAGTCAATAATAATGCCACATAGTACCTATCTATGATTATATGGGCGAGGGCGTTGAGTACCCTCAAAAGGTAATAAAAAAATTTGTATCCAAAACCACAAACAAAGAAAAATCAATGAATGAATGAAAGAGATTTCTAAATATTTACACAACAAAATTTTCCCGATCATTTTCCGTTCAACACTACAAGTCTGGGCAAACAATATCGGTCTGTCCGTCCGACTGTTTATAGATTTCATACTTTGAATTATAAAAAAAAGAAAAAAATATGTATGTATATTTTCACGTACATATGTACTTTCCACCTTCAACAAATAATAGCACGTTGTTTGCTTTTTTTTTGTTTTCTTCTTCTTCTGAAGATAAACAAATTGTATTTTAGAAAAATTATTTAGTATTTGTTGCTCTTCCGTATCTTTAGAAAATTTTCATTTTTAAATCATATCCATTCCCACACACACACACGCACATAGACTCCTTCAATTGTTGTGGTGGAAGTATTTTCATTCTCAATTACGAAATAAAAATTTGAAATCAAATTTATTGCATTTTTTTTTCGAAGGAGAGATGTAGAGAGTGGTTGATTATTTTCTAAAGGTAAGCAGAGCAATCAGCTCGGTGAAGTGCTAATGGACGATTTGTTTATTCAATGCTTAACGTTGGAGGAAATTTGTTTTTCCGATTTTCTTTGTTAGACAACTGGATTTGTTTGCTTTCTTTCCATAAGAAATTTGTATTTTGTACTGCGTGGCAAAATTTATACTATAGGTAAGGTTTACCTTACAGTTAGGTAAACTACAGAAAGGTAAAATATTTTGTTAGTTCAATGTTAAACATGACTTTTCTATTTAAATAAAATGTCCTCAATTTATCCAAGAAGCATGTGAAAATGTCGGTAAGTTCGACCAGACATAGACCCATATAAAGGTCTCCCTTCATTTCAAATATGTTCATGGACCCAAACTTAATCTCTAACCGAAGTGGCTATAATTTTGCATTCCGGGTTCATGGAGGGTGAAAAAATTTTTGCAGAAAATGTTCCATGCTTCAACATAGCCTCAGTATAAAAGCCCGGTGATATTATCGAAATTTTGAATGAACACTACCCATTTCGAACAGGCCTTAAGTTAAACATTTGTGTGATGAACCATGAAGAAAATCTTTCAAATAACCTCGAATAAGGTTGTGATGGTTCATTGTAAAAGTATTCTTAAAAAACCAAGTCGATAATTGTCCTTGTAAAAATAGGTTTTTTTAATTCCATGTCATGTCTTTAAAAAAAATATATATATATATATATATATATTCCTTAAAAAAATCCAAGCCTATAGTTGTAACCAAAAAATATTTTTTTCATGGACCATTAAAGATCTAGTCGTGGATTAAAATTATTTTTTTTTTTCCATAGACCATGAGAGCCCTAGGCGTGGATTTTTAAAGAATAATTTTTCCATAGACCATCAGAGCCCTGGATTTTTAGAGAATATTTGTTTCCAAAGACCACCAGAGCACTATGTGTGGATTTTTAAAGAATATTTTTTCCATAGCCCATCAGAGCCATAGCCTTTGTTATTTTTAAAAATATTTTTCCATAGACCATCACTGTCTTAGACGTGGATTTGTAAAGAATATTTTTCCATA